AGTGTCCAGTGAGAGCATACTTCCTAGTGCGTAAATTCACTGTGTCCTCACAAAGAAAACGGTAAGGGGGCTCTCTGGCGTCTCTTTTATAAAGGCACTAATCCCATTTATGAAGGTCCTGCTGAAGTTCTAATCACCTACCAACTACGCCACTTCCTTACACCATCACATTCGGGGTTAGACTTTTTATTACTGGGTAATTTATTATTATTATTATTAGAAGCCATCTAAGTGACATGGCTTAGCTACTGTTTAGTTATTAAGGGAATTCAGTGTGGCATGGAAAGACATCTCATGAATAAGAGAAAAGAGAAAAACAGTATGGGAGTCTGAGCCCATTAATGAAAAATTATATGAAAATGTATGCATGTGATAAGATTCTAGAATATGTACCAAAGTGTTAACATCAGTCATTTTTAGTTATAAAAGTATAAGTGATCTTTGTATTCTTAATTATATTTTCTGTATTTTTGAATTTTTTTAAAATGAGCATGCATTACACTTGAAATATAAAAAAGAGGGGCTTTTCTAAAGTGGTAATTTCCTTATTAAATGTCCTAACAATATCATCTAGATTTGTAAAGAACAGAATTTGTTTAGACATATAATTAAATTGCCTTACATAAAGGAATTTTTAATCATGGAAAGTTCTATATAAAGCTATAAGTATTTGCTATACACCACATATTTCAAAATAGCCTTTTTGGTAATAGTAGGATTATATTTCCACCACTGAAGTTAGTTAATAAAATGTGAGTACCTATGAAATGTGGTTTTTCCTGGTAGAGACTTTAGGAACCAGTCATGAATCACCATGTTTTCTATTCTCTCTCCAATGAGCCAAATCACAGTTATTCCCTTAGCCCAGATCTGGAGACGGGAGACCACAGAACAAACCCAGCCAAACTGTGAAGGATACATAGAGTGAGGAAGAAATTACCCTTCATGTTTTTATCATATCATCTTCTTCCTCCAATAAAATATAAACGGATACTCCCAATGACAAAATATAAATGAATACTCCCATTGACAGATGATTGACTTAAGTGGTGACATATATATATATGTGTGTGTGTGTGTGTATATTATATATATATGTATACACATACATATTGCAATACTACTCAGTCATGAAAAAATAATGAAATAGTGCCATTTGCAGCAACATGGATGGAGATCATCATTCTAAGGGAAATAAGCCAAAAAGAGAAATAAAAATAACAAGTGATATCACTTACATGTGCAATCTAAAAGACACAAATGAACTTATTTACAAAACAGAAACAAACTCATAGGTATAGAAAACAAACTATGGTTACAGGGGTGGTGGGGGGAGTGATAAATTGGGAGTTCAAGATTTGTAGATACTAATATATATAAAATGCATAAACAACTTTATACTGTATAGCACAGGGAACTATATTCAATGGCTCGTAGTAACCCAGAATGAAAAGAATATGAAAATGAACATACGTATATATATGTATGACTGAAACATTATGTTGTACACCAGAAATTGACACAACATTGTACAGTAACTATACTTCAACTAAAAGAAAATAAAAAAAAAACATGGATACTCCCTAAAGAAATTTGCATATCACAGCAATATCACTTTTCTCCTCAATATCTGTGACTCAGTAGGTCACTGTATTATGGATTTGATGGGTTTACTATGAAAGAACTTCTGTACTAAACTTCAAACAACTCTCCAAAGGTTAATTTGGCATACTTTGATTTGAAGTTTGTTTTAGAGTGAATATAACATTAATAAATAAGTTTTCTTCTTTCTGGTTTAGTTAAATAAATAATTATTTTTATGTTATTTTTATTATGTAGAGTGAAAAAAGAATCATGGAAATAGGCATTTAGAATAGATGGGATAAGAAAGAATTTTGCAGCAATAACTGGAATTATGTAGCATGTAGCAAAAGAAAGAAAATGAAAGAATTTCAAGAATTTTAATTGAGGAGATACAAAAAAAGTAAATGTAAAAATGTATAAAGAGAGGCTGTTGTGCTTATGCATTTGAAGTAAAGGTTCTTCCTCAAAAGTAGCCAAGGAAATTACATGGTTAGAAAGACTAGTTTGAGAAGATGTCTGATATAAAATAAATACAAATAGGCAAATCATTCTTGATTTAAACAAAAGGAGACTACAACAACAACAACAAAAAAGAGTCAGGAGGTGTAGTCAAACCATAAGTGAAGATACAATTTTGTTCTGTTTTTACTTTTGTCTTGTTGAGATTGTCATCTCCTGCTTCTCCTCTTCCATTTTCTTCACCATTTTAATCAGATATATTGTATTTTTTGCATTTCTCACTATGCAAAATCTTGAATTGTTATGTTCGCTATCTCTGTTGGTGTTTTGAGTTCTTTAATTGCAAATATTCTCTATTGTAAATCAAGTTGAAGATTCACTTTTGTTTCTTTGTTGATGATAACTTTGCACATTTGAGAAAAACAGAAAATATTTTCCCTATGTAAATCTTACTAATCACTTTAATTTTAAACTTTTATAAAGGAAATTGCTTTATTATTCATTAGGTTTCTTATTATTCCTCTTTTACTTGTCTTTTTCCTCTTTCTCATCCTCTTACTCCTTTTCTTTTTCTCTTGTTTTGGAAGTAGAATAAGTGAAAGATGAAAAAGAGAAAAATAGATATGATCCAATGTAACAAGACAGAAATGTGGAGTATGTTACTAATTTGATATAAAGTATGTGAAAATTATTACACATTTGACTGCTCAGGATAATTAAAAATTTCATTAAATTCTCAGCCGAAATACTCCCCAAAGTAACTATGAGAATATAGAAAAGCATATTAGTATAAATGTTGTGACAGTACTTTGTCTTGTATTCATATTGCTCCACTGAGAAATAGTCATTTTTTTCTGCTTAGAGTTGTGAGACCTTGGTGAGTTTGGATCAAATCAAAAGACTACAAGGAACCCAGCTTAAACTCTGCAGAAGAATGCCTGCAGCAACAGGCTGGGCTGTTAAACACACTCACAGTCAATTAAGCCATTGGATAATAGATCTTTTGTGTTCAGGTAACGAAATAAGCTATTCATTTAAAATATTTATTAGGCCTCCTTTGTTTTCATTCACATTCAAGGATTTCAAAGAAAATGACAATGTTAATGCTTTCTCTAAATGATCTTCTTCTATTATGACTTATTGTAGAGGTCTATTTTACTCATCTGCTTATGATAATGATAATGCTGGTTTCTCTGAGGGTAATAAAAGGAAATTATATGAGACTTACTCTCGTTCCCTTGTGATTATTCTTTTCTCTAGTCTACAACATTCAGCCTTGAGAAAATGAAACCCCGTGCTTATTTTTATGTGGTGACTACCATCGTAGTCATTTTAATGTAATCACATTATTTACCATCTGTTCTTTGTTTAGCCAAAATTGATTTTCTGTATCGTTCATTTGGACACTTGAGACAAATAAGCTATTCATTTGTGTCAGTTTAATGTCTTAGCTACTAGAATTTTAAAAAGAAAATATTTTTCACAGAACAATATACTTCAAATGCCCTCTAATGCAATGTATTTTTGAATTATCCCATTTTGTTTTATAGTTTCTTAAAAGCGGATTATGTATATGCTTTACCATTTTTAAGACCTTATATCATAATAAAAGTGACAATTCATTGTTTTAAAAATAAGCATTTTTTTAGAGTAAAGGAATAAAAAAGATTACGCTGCTCTTTTCTAATGACTAGAAGCTGTTTCATATCCCATGACCTTCTCCTAAATGGTTAATTCTGTCATCACATAACATTAATTTGGGAAAACTACAAATGTTTGGCCTAATTGTTTCTATACTGAGCTAAATTTAATGTAATATGGCATAACATATAATAAGCTATTTATTTATCAGTGTTGTATTCCTCAGATAATGACCTCTAGGACCACACATTTAGCCAGTTTGGTTGATTACTTTCTGCAACAAGAAGGTGTTCATATCATAAGCAACAGGGAGGAATCTCCTTGAGAAGCTGTTCCATGTTACTCTTTAAAGGAATCTGCCTGTGGTAGGTGATTTTGGAGATGGTTCCACAAAGAGGTGTTTTTTAAATTTTTTCTTCTGAATGATTTTAGAAAGTAAGAATAATTCTATAAGCAAGTATCTTAATTTAATTTAGTGGCTGGGAGAAATGAAGCTAGATTAAAGCTATAATTGGTAAAGAAATAGCAATCAAGTTAGCTGGGGAAAGAAGTGGTTTGGCCACATTTGTGGTTTGCGAATGGTTCTCGTTCTTGTGTGCGAGCAGTCAAGCTTACAGAATAATCTTATGTTCTCAACTAAAGACCTGTGAAATGTTTTATGCTCAGCAGGAGAACCCCATGGTGTAGCTGTTAGTGCCAGACCAGTTGGCAGCTTTCAGAGTCAACTGCTTTTCGCCTTCTTATATGTATATTACCTTGCTAATTGTTACGGACTGAATGTTTACAGCTCTCCAAATTCGTATGTTGAAGCCCTAACTCCCAATGTAATAGTAGAAGAAGGTGGGGCTTTGGGAGGTAATTAGGATTAGAGGAAGTCATGAGAGTAGAGTCCTCTTAAGGGGATTAGTGCCCTTATGAGGAGTGGAAGGAAAAATAGAGTCCTTCCTCTCTCTCCACCATGTGAAAATACAGCAATAAGGTAGCCACTTCCAAGCCAGGGAGAGGGTTCTCACCAGACTGGGAACTACTGACATCTTGATCTTGGATTTCTCAGACTCCAGAATGGTCAGACATAAGTACCTGTTGTTTGAGCCACCCAGTCTACAGTATTTTGTTATAGCAGCCTGAGCTGACTAAAACAATAATCAAAAGTTTAATTCTTACATTTTGAATTATTATAAAAATTTATAACCTATGTATGGCATTATAATTTTTATCAACCTGTCAGCCGAGGGAGGCTGATGTGGGGTTCTAGGAGGTGAGCAGCCCAAACGAAAAAATGCACGAGGAGTTGCCATACTGCTGACAGAATGTCTCTAGCACATGCGTACTTCTATTTTCCTTGTTCTAAACCTTATATAATTGACGCATGCGAGGAGCAATTATTTACTGCATACTACAAACATGCTCTGATGGTGGCCTTGGGTCCCACGGCCTTAACTCATCTCAACACCAGCTCACATTCCACCCCCTAGGTCGTGGGAACCCTAGCCCACAGGGCGGAGCATTGTACCCAAAGACCACAACAACAATACAGAGTACAGCATCCTACCAATACACAGACAGCAACAATAGCCAGGACAGTTAGGCTCCATCTCCAGGAGGATGTCAAGGATGACCACCAATTCTTAAAGGGGTCTTGAGTTACATGATCTATGCGATCCAATTCCTGATCTATTTCATGCAGTGCCTTAATTACTTCCTTCTGGTGATCTGGTATATAGATACAGCATTCAATATGTAACATAGCACTTGTGCCACACTGGCTAGCAGTGAGAATATCTAATGCCATTCTATTTTGTAAGACTACCTTTCACATCTGGGTAGTCTCGTCTAACAATTCCTCTATAGCTTTTCTAGTAACATTCAGTACAGCTGATATGTGCTGAGCTAAAACTTCTACCTGCTATTCAACACTGATGGTCCCAGCACCAGGCAGGAACAGGGCCATGGGATAAAACCACCAAGTTGCATGCTTCCCCCGGTGCCACCGGGTGTGCAGTGGGTCCCAATTTGTGGGGCGCTCTGTTAAAGTGGGCCAGATATGTCTGGGCAAGTAAGCTCTACCCCAAGTATAGTGCCCTGTCCATTTAGCTCGGAGATAAGATCACCCGTGGATGCCACATACCCACAGATACCATGGTGGCAGGAAATCAGTGGGTTTTGTGCCAATTAGAGGTCGTCCATCCCACCAGGTGGAGGCATTTACATTATAAGTAATTTTGGCACACAGCTCTTCTGGGAGCCACCCCACTGTGCAGTTTGGAGCCTCGTGTTCAAACTGCTGCTCAATACAGAGGGGGCTTAAATTCCTCACTTTCACATGAACACTATTCATCCATCCCCACCCATTCCATACAGTCCTTCCAGTTAGGGAGGGCACTGCCCCGCTCACGTCAGAGTATTTCTTCAATAGTCTGCCACCGCAAGTCCCAGGGCGATCTCGCTGTCCTGTTGGCATTCCATTGAATCAAGGTGCTCCAATTAGCTCTGGATGCGGGGTGGAGGTGCCACGGCAGTCCATCTCCTGCATCTACAGGAAGTTCAGTACAAACCCAACAGTGAGAGACATTGTGGACTCGCGCGAATGTGTGTGCCCAGGAGAACATGGTATTTGCTGTTACCCTGGATGAAAGGACAGAGCAGAGGTGGACACCATGATTGGCAAATCTTTCCCTTCTGGGAGGATGCAAGCCACTTTCTCATCCTGTGAGAGTACAGTGGCAGGAAGGGCTGTTCACCCTGGGCGGTGGTACCATACCAACCCGCCCACACTAGGTTGGTTACACTCTGGGAGAGCTTCAGGAGCTACCAGTGGAACTGCCCAAAGCCGTAGGGCTTCTACTCCTTTAAGTAGGGATACTCCTGTTTTCCCTAGAGTAACCTGCACATCAAAAGGCCATTCCCTGACTCATGGGGTTACCTGCAGGGCTTTCTCTAGTCCATCGCCCCATGGTTCCAAAAGGGCTAGCCAGGGGCCTTCAGTCTGGACCTGATTCTTCCATGTCCAGGTGTCCTGTTTTCCTGAGTTCAACACCCTGGGGGCGCGTAATATTAATGCATGCCCCACTATTGAGACATCGGAGGCATTCTGCATGGGCCCAACTCTGAGCCTCTGAATAGTCCCTTGCAATAACTTTTCCAGTGGGCTCATACCTGTACGGCGCAGTTGTTCATTCAAAAGATGTACCGCCTGCGGCAAGACATTGTTCCAGCCTCGCCCTTGTGGTTTGAGAGCCCTCAGTTTGTCCTTTAATAGGCCATTGTACCGTTCAATCATTCCTGCTTGAGGACGATAAGGCACATGCAATATCCAGTTAATATCATTTTCTTTGGCCCATTCCTGGGTCTGTTGGGCAGTGAAAGGGGTCCCTCTATCACTTTGTATTTCTAACGGAGTCCCATAGAAGGCCCGTAAAACTTCCAGTGCTCTAATAGTAGAGTCTTGTGTAGCTCAGGGCACATGGTGAGCAAAACCTAGACCAGTAGCGGTGTCTACCGCTGTCAGCAGGTACCGCAAGCCCGTACTTGGAGCAAAGGGGCCTACGTAATCTATTTGCCATACCTGCAATGGCTGAATTCCCTGTGCAATCTTCCCCATCTGTTGGGGCCATCAACACCAGTGCGGGTGGTGTTTAGCACACCATGGACACTGCCGCACGGCATCTTTGGCTTCACTGTGGCTCAGGTGCAGGCCCCACCGGTCGGCTACCTGCCTCATTGTGTATGGGCCAACATGACCAAGTTTCTTATGGAGCCAGGGACCTATATTGGATCCTGGGACCATAGCCTGTACAGGGCGGAGTTGAGCTAGCGCGTCAGCAGCATCATTACCCGGTGCCAGGGCTGGGTGGTGCCCTGGTATGTGGTAAACAGTATATTGGCCTTCTTGGCCTTTGTCCCATAACTGTTTCCACATCTGTTGTCCCCACAGGGGCCGGTGCCCAATCATCCAGTCTTGCAGGGCCCATTGGGGTATTCACAATGTAAGGCCTCGATATACGGCCCAACTATCTGTACAAATCTGCAAGGGGCTAGATTCATTCATCAACACCAGCCATACTGCCCGTAACTCAGCCCATTGGCTGGATTGGCCTTCTCCGGTCTCATACCAGAAGGCTTCAGTGGCAGGGTGCAGTGCTACTGCAACCCAAGTGGGCAGACTGCCCTTACAAGATCCTTCTGTACACCAAGCAGTTCCCGGGGGTGGCCCTTTCCCTTCACGAAAGGGACTGGGCACAGGGTCCACCCCTTGTGGGAGCGTCTGTACATCAGACGCAACAAATCTCACAGGCCCTAACACCTGCTGCAACTCTGCAGCCAAGGGGCTAGCGGTGTACTGGGCTCTCTGTTCCAAATAAGCACCCCACTTCGTCAGAGTTGGGGTTTGGGTAGTTCCCGATCGGGGTTGCTTTGCCCATGTCTGTACCCATCCTGCAATAGGGTATGTGGTCTGCACTTGGACCTCTTGCCTCCCCGTCAGGGGTTCAGTGGCAATCAAGGATGCATAAGTTGCTAGCAACTGTTTCTCAATCAGAGAATAATGACATTCAGCCCCTTTCCACAACTGAGACCAGAATCCTATGGGCACTTTCCACTGCCCATGTTTCTGCCAAAAGCCCCAGCCATATCCATCATTGTCCACATGGACTGTTAACCAGAAAGGGAGGTCTGGATCTCTAGTGCGCAGTGCTTGCGCTTGGGCCACTGCCCTCTTAGTTTCAACAAATGCTCATTTGGTCTCATCAGAGCAATTCCAGACTTCTCCCTTTTTAATCAGTTTATACAGGGGTTTGGCTATTTGGGCCAAATGAGGAATAAACACCCTCCAGTATCCCAGAAGACCTAAATAAGTCTGTAACTGTTTACCTGTTTCAGGGCGGGAATATGCCTGGATTTTGTCTATTACTGCTTCAGGCAGCACTTTTGTCTTACCCGACCAGACAACACCCAAGAATTTGACAGAATATCCAGGTCCTTGCACTTTGTCCTCGTTCACGGCCCACCCCCAGCCCGCCAGGGCTTCTCGCAGCGCTGTGGCACTGGTTTCCAAATCTGAAAGAGAATCAGAGGTTAGCATTATGTCATCAATATAATGGAACAAGCGAACGGTATCCGGTTTGCTCCATGTAGCCAGGTCCTGGGCCACTAGGCCATGACACAGTGTAGGGCTGTGCAGATATCCCTGCGGCAACACAACAAATGTCCATTGTCTGCCTTCCCAGGTGAAGGCAAACTGTTCTTGGCTCTCAAGGGCTATGTCTATCCAGAAGAATGCATTAGCCATGTCAACCACATAGTGACAAGTACCCAGTTCATGGGACAGTCGGTCCATCAAATCTGTTATATTCGGCACCGCGGCATGCATGGGGGGAATGACTTTATTCAGTTCCTGATAGTCCACTGTCATCCTCCAGGAGCCGTCTGGCTTCCGCACTGGCCATACTGGAGAGTTACATGGGCTATGCGTAGCCCGAATTATACCAGCTTCCTCAAGCTTCAGAATAGTCTGTCCTATTTCCTCATGGCCTCCGGGCAATTGATATTGCCGGACATTCACCACTCGTGTGGCCTGTGGCAAAATCAAAGGTGCATGATGAGGATGCCCCCGTATAACTGTTTTCACCACACGGACTCTCAGGCGAAATTCCCCTTGAGTTGTCTGTATTTGCAATCCTTGCAAAATGTCTATCCCCAGAATGTATTCAGCTACTGGGGATATATGCACTTCATATTCAGCAGGGGACAGACGGCCAATGCCCAAAATCAGAGTCACTCGTTTAACACACATTTGCTTGTTTCCATATCCTTCTATATCAACCCATGGTCCCTGAAAACGCTCCGGATTTCCATACACCAATGTAATTTCAGCTCCTGTGTCTACTAGTGCCAGCACTCGCTGTTTATTCATGGGGGACCAGTGAATAGTCAGCTCAACATGTGGCCTCCAGTCATCGGGGTGCCCCATGTCCTGAACACTTTGGCCTTCCTCCTAGTCTGGGAGGAAATCAACAAAGGCCACCTCTCGGACCTGATGGGAGGTTGGCAACTGAGTATATTGTTGCTCAGGCCGTAATTTCTTCCATAAGGCCATCAGCACCTCCAACGGCTGGCCATCTAATTTTACACGGTCCAGGCCAGCTGCCAGTAAATCACACCATATCTGCCGGTGATCTAGCTTTTGGGGCCCTCCTAAAATTGGAGCATTTTCTTTTTTTCCTTCTTGGTGTGGACTTCCCTTTCTGCTTCACTGCACAGGAGGAGGGGGTCTTGGACTCACCTTGAGTCTTGGCAGCACGTACCCCCTTTCGGAGCACCTCTATGTCCCCCAGACGAGCCAGAGCTTCAGATACTTCATGAATGGAGCAGTTTACATACGGTGCTAGTAGCGTCGCCATAGTCCCAAACGTTCCCGTTGGGCCATTAGCCAAAATCAAATCTTTCATTCGAGCTGTAAGGAGCTCATCATCTGGACCAAGGAAATGCAAAGAAAACATCATCTGGCGCATGCCCATTTCCCGGATAACTTGTGCTAAGTCCAAATACGTGGTCCCTTTACTCACGTGTTCAGGCAAATCCCCTGCACTTTCCCACACAGTGCATACAGCAGCCATTAACCAGCTTATCAGCGTATGGTTGCCAGCATCAGCATTTGACTGGGGAACAGTTTGCAGCCTCTGCCGCAGTGAGGGGACAGTTGTTATGCTGGCCAGCTGGCTCATCTCCTTCGGAGATAGCTCAGTCTGGTCAGCCCCAACATCCCAAAGGCGCAGTAGCCATGTGGGGACTGACTCACCCATACGCTGCTTGCATTGCTTTGCCAGGTCCCTCAATTCCATTGATGTGTAGGATGTACAGGTGGTTTGTCATGTAACTCGCCGTGGCCCCACAGGAATTCCCCCCTGAGCCATGGGCTCCTCCATTTCCATCCGCTGCCTCACCACGGGCCGTGGACGCAGTGGAATGGGGGGAGGTGTTGGGCTTATTGCTCCCAGGGGCGGTGGGACTGGAGCTATACAGGCATAGCTGCTCTCAGAGGTGGCGGAGCTAGGACCATGCGACATCTTTCTGCTGTGCTGGGTCTCTGCTTAAGCGCCTCTTCTTTGCATTGCAACTCCTCCACTTGCATCTGTAAATCTCTCATGTCTTGGCTAGCATGCCGTAAAACAGATAAGAACACCCAGGCCACCCTCCTGGCTGCCTCTCGGTGGGCTAATGGGACATTATTTTCTAACAGCTCCAACGCCCTCTGGACGTCATCTGGCCGGGGTGCCACTGTGTCCCAATCCTCAGGCTGAGCCCATGTCAGCAAATAGGCTGCCACCGGGTACCATACAGAGGTAGGGGGCCACTTTGCTTCCATCAGAGCATCCCCGTCAGGGGCACGGGGTTCAGAAGGGGCACTCACCTCATCCTGCCGACTACGCCAAGTGTCAGCCGAGGGAGGCTGATGTGGGGTTCTAGGAGGTGAGCGGCCCAAATGAAAAAATGCATGAGGAGTTGCCATACTGCTGACAGAATATCTCTAGCACATGCGTTTTTTTGTGTGTTCTAAATCTTACATAATTGACGCATGCGTGGAGCAATTATTTACTGCATACTACAAACATGCT